ATATAATGTTGTGAGATGATTTACGATGTCAGGTTATTTAATATCAGCGCCTCGCGTGTAGCCCGTTCAGGAAGTTGCAGAACACGCCACTGAAGCGAATAACCCAAGCACCGTACACACTCGTACGACAGCAACGCCTCACGTTTTTAGTCGATGAAAGTCATTGGCGACTAGTTAGTAAGGTAGTGATTAAAGCAGCAAACAATATCGAATGCAGCTGGACCACAAGTCAGATCCTGGCCTCAAGGCTTGATTGACTCTAGTTACGTGGGAACGGACGGTCCATCATCCTATAAAAGCCATCGCCGGCGAGTCACGAGGTCATGGTTAATCAACTGCTGGTGATGGATGCCCTTCTGCTTTTAGCTGTGACGTGATAACTGCTCCAGAAAGATGGACGGGACAGAGGTCATTTACACCGGAATGAGGCCGGAATGTGGCACAGTTCAACAAATAAACCTGGCTTGCGATTCTCACCACGCCCTGCATACGACGACCGATGTTTTTAGGGCCACGGAGCGTCTGGTGACATCACTGCGACGTGATTGTTTGTGAAAGCGCAGAGACACGCTTTCGATGACAGCCCGTGACACGTGTTCCGCGAAGCCGTAATGACAGGCAACCGCAGATTCATCCGGTGAGGGACACGCCACACCACTATCCGGGTTTCTGCCGGTGACGCACCGGCGGTCGTGGTGCCCTTCCGTGACGGACCGCGTGCCGCCGCACCACCCTCCGCCGTGTCAGTACCACGCGTGTCGCGCGTGCCAGCGCCACTACCGGGGTGACACCGGGGACGACCGACGTCGGCTCCGGCCGCCCGCCCCGCCGGCGGGGCCGGAGGCGCGCGTGGCGTCGCCCGGGGGAGGGGCGCGCTGCTGGGTCACGCTGATCGGGGTCAGGTGACGGCACCGGTGGGCCCGCGAGCAGCCGATGCCGTGCGCCCGTTACCCAGTGCCGGGTCTGCCGGGCGCGGCGGCGGCCATCGATCAAACGGCCGGCGGGGTCGTGGGCCCTCTCGGAAGCGCCGATGGTGGCCACGCGGACGGTGACACTGCTGACCCGGACACGCTGGGATTGCTGGCATCACTGGCACGGTCATGCTGGGATGACGACATCGCTGACACGGCCATGCTGGGATGATGACGTCAATGGCACGGTCATTCTGGGATGATGACATCCCTGACACGATCATGCTGGGATGATGACATCACTGGCACGGTCATGCTGGGATGATGACATCGCTGACACGGTCATGCTGGGATGATGACATCACTGGCACGGTCATGCTGAGATGATGACATCGCTGACACGGTCATGCTGGGATGATGACATCGCTGACACGGTCATGCTGGGATGATGACGTGATTGGACAGCCCACGCTGTGGACTGCTGGAACCGCTTACGCTGCATATTGGGAACAGCATGCTGACTCAGCCTGCCTGAGATCGTGCAAAACGTTGGCGACGCCCTGACGCTGACGCTCGACGCTCAAGGCCAGGTTCCCTGGTGGTTTCCAACGGCCTGCGAGGCTGCTGTTGATGATTAACTGAAGCTGATAAGGGTGTGCGGTCGTGAACGCGGTTGGACCGGGGATGTGCGAGCAAGTAAACAATTACGGATAAGTGCTACGTCTGCAAGGACAAAATGACAGATCAGAAAGCCAAAGGTATGAAATGCAGACATCGGATATGCAGAGCACTACGGGGATAATTCATCATCTTCCGCCCCGTATCCAGGTTGGCCCAAATCCCACGGTTTTGTGAGGCGTACGTTAAACACTTCACCAAATTATGGAAACACGTAGTCAAGGGTCTACGGTGATATAACAAGCTAACGCTAATTTGTAAAAATGAGTCTAACCCGCGTCGCTATCTTCCAGTCAGCAACAGGCAGTGCCGCAGCCAGCAGTGTTCACGGGCTCACTGCTGGGAGGCGGGCGTGCGTTGCCACACACAATCCTCAGGGCCAGGCAGAAGCGGCCCCAGATACCGGCGCCGCTGCCGCGGGGTGCACAGTCGTCACGGTCCCTGGCGTTTAATCTTTGTAACATGTTGAGCACGGGAAGAGCAGCACGCATATTTTCAGAGCATTTCCCAGCGCGCCCCACTGCGAGGGGGTCGTGAGGCAGGTGCAATTTTAATCCACACTGTGGCACTGCCATGTGCTGAAACTAGGTCATCAGTTATCGTCTAGTTCAGCTGTCGTGAAACATTTTAATACGATGGTGTCGTTTTTAGGATGTCCAAAATGCCATTTCTGCTGACATGAAAAGAGCTTTAAATTTAAGAAACGAGGATTCAGATGCCTCGGGTTTAAAAAGAGCACACACTCCCTCATCTTTTCAGTATATTTATTGAGTCTGAGAACTAAGAGCATTGTGAGAATACGCCAGATGACCAGCACAGCCAGAGGTGTCTGAGGGTTCAACTGGCCCCCTAATGAGAGCTTTTCGAGAAAAACCACACCTAGATAAAAACAGTAGTATAAGCCTTATTTCTCGAGAAAAAAACAGGAGAATAGAGATATAGTTGGGCTGATATTTCGGCTTCCAACTTCCACAACAACGATATTTTCAACTTCCACTAACCACAACATAATTCGTAGCATGTTCCATAGGGCTCTAAACAGCTCACCAAGTAGTGAAAAGGAAAGAAAGAGCATAAACAAAATATGGGCTTTGCTGTTGAGTAACGGATATTCTCCACAACTTTTAAATATAATGCTGGAAGAAGTAAAAAAAAAAACTCTACAGCGCGTCGAGCGATGGGTGGTAGGAGGCGCGAACACGTCCAATCGCAAGACGGATTCTGAACGCTACCGAACGCTACCGAAGTGCCCGGGTGGAAATAGATGCCATTTATGCAGTTCTGGATTTCAAGGGGTTTGCGCACAAGAAAAACCTGGTTTACGAAATAAACTGTAAACTGTGTGAAAAACATGGGAGGGACGTAGTCTATGTTGGAGAGTCCATGCGCCCCATTTGTTTCAGATGTAATGAACAGCTGCGAGACGCTAAAAGCAAAGCAGAGAATACCCCTCCCGGTGACCATTTTCTGACAAAACACGCTCAGGCTGAAATCGAGGGAAGTTTGGACCCTATGCCCCTTTTGGAGCTCAAAGTCACCATCAGAGCACGGGACCACCCAGACAGGAAAATAAGCAAATTTATTCTTATAAAAGTCGGCGACCAAATCTTAACTTACAGCGTTCATCATGACCAATTATGCCAACGTGATATGTGCCTCTATGTGTGATGTGTGCTAGCTTAAAATCGTTTACATGTATAAGTGATGCCTGTCGCGTGATGTTCGATGCCTGTTCAACTAAAATCGTTTGCGTGCATAATTGGTGCGCGATGTGTGATGCCTGTTTACTTCAGTTCGCTTGCATGTTCGAATGAAGCGCGATGCGTAATGCCTACTTGCCTGAATTCGTTTGCATGTACACGTATGTCCGGACATTTAAATTCTTAGATAGGCACTGAATCTTGGTAACGGCTGGCAATCGCTCTTTGTTTAACCCCCTGGATGTTGGTGTCCAGTAAAAACTGTGGCTTGGTCTTTCAAAAGAAAACCTGAAAAATCGAGTAGGAACATCGGCAGGCAATTTTGAATTCACTTCTGCTATTGCTTCGACAAAGGCATGTTGCCGAAATAGCAGTCCGACTATATTTCCATTCACCTGGTTTTTCCAAGGAATAAGGCTAATACTACTGTCTAATTTATGCGACTAATGCTCCTCGCTAATGCACTGAACAACTTACGAAAAAAAACACACCTCCTTGCGAACTGGTTTCATGTTGTGACACGACTTATGCTGGCCTGACGCTCCATGTGGATTCCAAGTTATTGCGCGAGAGGTTCTGTAGTCTGGTGGTTTTGTTCGTGACCATCAGTAATTTACTCTCCAAAAGAGCCACGACCTTCCTCTCAGCCGCGACGTTGCATGAGATGTTACGTCATTGACCAGGTACATCTCCGTAACACCTTACTGGTCCCTCCCATTTGCATGCCCTCAGACCCTCACAGCACTGTTGCAGTCTCCACGCTTCGTCTATTCAGATACAAGGGCATACACGGGGGGGGGGGAGGAGGGAGGGGGGGGGGGGCTTCCAGACCGGTGGCGGCGAGACTTCGCATTAGTAATGCATGGTCGCCGGCTCGACGACACCGCGGGGCACCAGCGTGACGTGTCGCGGCGAGCGGCGGCGCCGTGTGCCCTCCGGCTTAGGAGAGCTGGAAGCCCCCCGTTTGTATGGCTACTTAGAGCCATCCTGAAGCGGAGCCCCAGGGTCTGAACTCTGCAAAGTAGGCCAATCGTCTTATCGCCGCCTTGATTGGGCGTTTGGTGGCGGCCGGCGCGCACGGCTCGGTCGGCCAGCCGGTGGCGTGACTGGCTTTGACAGCCGGCGGGCAACGTTGCGATTGTTTCTGTTTGATGAGCTGTCTAGGCCGCTTGGGGAAGCGCATTCAGATATATTTGGATATTAACTACAAGCCATGTTCAAGAATTTTGCGATGCACCTGAAGCTACACAGCAAGACAGTCTTCGCTAGTTTCCTCCCTCGCACAAGTGGAAGGGAAATGCACCTATTTGGAGCTGTTGTCGCACGCTTAGGACGTAGTCGCAGGAACTGGGGACCAGGTAACTATGACCTTTAAACTATTCGTGCAAGTTTGACATTCACCTTATGGTGATGCATGGAAATGATCGACTTCAAAATGGTCAGGCTCCTGCTCTTCCACTTACGAAACTGCTCACACGTCCTGAATTGGGAGGTTAAATGGCTCCGTTTACCGCTTTCTCTATATTCATGTACATCTCCGAGTCTGGTCATCGTTGAGCGCTTGCCACATGCATCGCCGCGCCAGCAGCCCCCGTCCTCGCCCCGGGCTGTTTCTCCCTGACTCGGCGCTCCGTCAACACGCCAGTAGTTCTCTCCCCCGCCCGCACGCGTGCTCGACCTGCCGCTCCAGCACGGCGACGACAGCACCCACCTTCTTCTCGAGCTGCTTCTCCTGGACCTGCCGCTCGAGGTCGCGTCGATAGTCGAGCTGCTGCAGCGGTGGGTAGACGACGCGCCCCTCCTGGTGACGCGTCACGTCCGTGTGAGGCAGCGGGTTGTTGAGCAGCTCGGTATCCTGCTGCCGCCGCGGCCGACCCGTCTCCAGCTTCTTCATCATCGGGTATACCGAGATCCCGTTCTGCGAGAAACGGGAGCGGGGAGGGGACTGTGGCGGCGGGCTTCTGAAACGCTGTGGAACCCGCTCACAGTGGCCGCGTTTGTAAATTTAACGTTGCGAACAATACCTTTCTTTATCCAGAATTTTTATGTAGTCAATAGCCAGAGGGCGTTAAGACAAAATGAATGTGATGGCAATATAACGTACCAAATTGGTACAATAACCATTTAGACTTTATAATAATTCCTATAATTCATCAGGGCGATCACTTACGTCCCTCCTGAATGTCCGCTGCGCCCCAATCTCCGAGCAGTCTCGGTGTTCCCCTCGGACGCCTCACAGCGCTACACCTCTCACCTCGTCCATGAGGAATTCGCGCTCCTCGCGGGCGGCCCGCTTCCTCTCGGCCAGGATCTGGCGCAGTGCCTCGCGGTAGTGCTCGATCTCCTTCTTGCGCCGCCGCTGGTCTGCCGAGGTGGCCCATCCCTGGGTGCGATGGAAAAGGGTTGCAATGAGGCTCCTACGTGCAGCTCTGACGTCATCAAACGCCTTGTCTCCAAAAAATAAAAATAAAAACTTTAAGGAAGTTAAACATGCTAGATTATCTCTTGGCATAAATTAAATTTCGATAGTTACCTAGATATCGGTATGAGTTGGGTAACATGTTAAACGGAAATTTGTAGCTCTGATGATGTCGCAAGAGCGTCCTACAATTCTATGTAGTTCTTTTCCTCGATGAATGGTGCCATGCCTATTGGATTATGACCAAGCATGAACTAAATCCAAGCTACCAACTAGATGACTGTGTGAATCTGGTAATGTGTCAATTGCGTGAGCATACTGACTGTTTCGTGTCCATGCCAGCAGGGGTGTTGCCAGTGATGTGACATGATGCAGTTGCCGGGGTGTTGCCAGGAATGTGACATGACGCAACCACCGGAGTGTCGCCAGGGATGTGACATGACGCAGCCACCGGAGTGTTGCCAGGGATGTGACATGACACAGCCACCGAGGTGTTGTCAGGGATGTGACATGACGCAGCCACCGGAGTGTTGCCAGGGATGTGACATGACGCAGCCACCGGAGTGTTGCCAGGGATGTGACACGACGCAACCACCGGAGTGTTGCCAGGGATGTGACATGACGCAGCCACCGGGGTGTTGTCAGGGATGTGACATGACGCAGCCACCGGAGTGTTGCCAGGGATGTGACATGACGCAGCCACCGGGGTGTTGTCAGGGATGTGACATGACGCAGCCACCGGAGTGTTGTCAGGGATGTGACATGGCGCAGTTGCCGGGGTGTTGTCAGGGATGTGACATGACGCAGTTGCCGACATTGCGCACGGACAGGCTTCTGGTGCTGGAGCGACGGTCCGGGTCTATGGCCGCGCTTTGACACACGCCGACCCAGAGGGAGACTTGGAACCGACGGCTTGTCCGCCTGTCTCTTGCAAGTCTGGAGAGGTGTTGTATGTATCCTGGACTGTGCCATGGATGCAGGCCTTCGCGTAAACGAGAATGACTTGCATTCCTCTAACCAGTGTTGTCACTGGGCCAGGTCCCCCCCCCCCGCCCTTCGATTTTGAACGCAAAGCAGTCCAAATCCACCTCAAAGTGCTCACTGATGGCAGGTTTGGCCATTCAGATCCGGCGTGCTGAACTCTTTAACTGGTTAAGCGAAACTTAAACCGTTGGATACGGTGAAGTCAAAAAGGATGGAGGCGGGCGGGAAAGGTAGAGCATATCAGAATGCAGAGAAAAGAAACGCGTCTCCCTCACACGCATGAAGGGCCAACGTCAGGTCTCCCCGCGCCCCGTGTAGATTCGGCGGATGACAAGCCTCCGGTATGCATGCATCTGATGACGATAAAACACATTTGCTAGACCAGCACGGCGTGCTCTAACACAAAGAAATTGAATAAAGCCGAATTATTCACCAGCTTCTCTTGCAGGCAATTGCAAGATGAATCTAGATATCCAGGTCAGATATCCACGGCTGACCTTTTTTCAGTCATACTTTGAATTATTCATAAATACTGTGTGCGGTAGAACATGTTTAATTAGCGTCGCTGTCAACAAACGCGTATCGCCCCCCTATCCGTGCGTGTCGGCCAGCACGACCGGCCTCGACGGCACCATCAATCCAGCTGATGTGAGCGGCACCAAGTGGGTCAGATTGCGTGCGCCTTTTTCGAAAAAATCATGGGGTGCTGCATGGTTTAATAGCAGCGCAGTTGCAACAAAGTTGACTTGTGTCTTTACCAACATAAGCTTTAGATAAAGGTATACGGTGGGTCTTGATCATGCGTCTTGACCATGCAGGAATAGCCTAGTGGAGATTTTCAGTATAAAACATGTAGATCAAAATGCTGGTAGACTGACGCCGCATGAATAAACCATGATAGCTGGTGACTCTGATCCTCTTGATCTCGCATCCTCTCTTTTAAGAAACCCAGCCACCATGCCACAGAAGCAATCCTGGCAGCCTATTTTTGCCCTGCTCCTCGAAAAGACCTCGTTCGAGTCGGTCCCCAGCCAATAAACTCGTTCCGTTCCGTCCCCAGCCAATAGGCTCGTTCCGATACGCACGCGACTGTCCACCCCTCTCCCCTGTGTTTGCGGATGTTTTCAGCAGGAGCCATTGCGTGTCGTGGCCTATTGGTTCCGCCCGCCCCGGGTTGCTCCCTGCAGACGTGCCCCTCCCCTGCCGGCGGCCAGCAGGCACGCTCCGGCGTCTGGACACCGGACTGCGTCATCACGTCATCGTGCCATCACGCCATGCCCGGGCGAAGCGCTGACGTGTCCGGCACGAATCCCAGACTGGTGGCTGGGAATCCCAGGCTGGTAGCCGGGAATCCCAGGCCGGGAGCAGGTACTGCCCGCAGGCCGGCGTGGGAACACAGCTCGCGGAAGCGATCCATGCCAACATGTCACGGGCCGGTGATGGATGGGAGGGTCGACTGTATGCCATGTTCTAACGTGCTCTACACCCGAAAGAGTCGTGAGTGACGGGACATTGTCTTTACAGCCCCGTCATCTGATGTTCGAAGGCGTCGACATTTGGCTTGACTGACGGGGACTGTTTCGCTTGGGTGGATGTTTGGGCCAAAGGCAGCATGTAACCAGTGTACGCCGTGGCATTCCGAGGCTTGTCGTATAGTGCATTATACGCTACACTATCTAGGTGTACAATCAAGAGGAGACCATGCAGTTGTCCTCCCCTCCCATCAGGATCGAGGGCAGTGTTTCACTGCAGCACGATTGAATATAATTCAGCAATCTCGAATATATATATATATATATATATATATATATATATATATATATATATATCGTGATCAATATAATCATTCTGCATCAATATAATCGTTCTACTTTATCTCTCGTCGTCTCTGAGGGGGTGCCGATAGTTTAGTGGTTAACGCGTCCACATTAACCACTGCGCGTCAGGGAAACCAGAGGTACGGGGTTCGCTTCCTTGCGGTGTCCGCCTTTCCTGCCAGGGTGAGATACCATATATATTTCCTGATATTAGATATCCATAGATATTTCCTGCCAGCTGAGCGCGTCGTGAAATCCCGATGACGACGACGCCGACTCATTGTTTGTGGTTTACAATGTCATGTCGTGGCCAACAGCGGCAGTGTGGCGACAAATTTGGCGGATAGCTGAACGGACGCCTAAGGTGCGCAGCTGAGACGTTTGTGGTCGACATCCGGCGGAGTGATATTGATAGCCTATTGATACGCTATGTACAGTAACTTTTAGTGTTTGTGTTGCCTGTAGTCCGTTAGCAGTACGTAAGTACTAAGGATGGGGTAGGGATTTGCAACAAAGAAAATCCACCACCACCCCTCCCCCTCCCCGCTCCCACCATCAGAGCGAGGTTAATGGTCGTTGCACCACCACCGAGCCCTTTGATCTCTTGGATCACAAAGAAGCTGTCGTGGGGGTCGTCAGAACCCGTTAGCTGCTCAGCTCGTCGTTCAAATCTCGAAGACGGCATGGCGATTATAATGGTTGACACACGGCAACAAAGCGAGGATCAGAAGCACGAAGCCTGGTGTGACCTTCTCTGTCGACAGATTTGAGTGCATTTTTGACGACTTAAGTAAGGAATTGACACGCTAGTGATGGCACCGTTACAGACGGTTGGTTCCGAAAACGTTCCTCGGATGAAAGGTCACAGCGCTTATCACGCTATCTTTGTTACGCAGGAATCCGATGCAGTGCTAAATGTGAAATGCAGTAATTAATTGAATTAGTTTACTAGGGTACATGGAAGGGAAACCCATGGAATGCCGTCAGACTTGTCAATATACAGGCGCGGCGAGTCAGGGAGAGGGGGCAGAGGAGGTAGTTGCCCCCCCCCCCCCCAACCGGAAAGCAGGGGCAAGAGTGTGTTTCCCCCCCCCGCAAAAACAATTGTTGGGCCTGTTTTGCCAAAGCTATGATTCACGTGGATTAACGAAATTCTGACTGGGGGCCCTTACTGGCTCGAGAGACAATCGATATGAACTGGGAGGTCCATGGTAAACTAGGACGCCCGTTATAGACTGGGGGTACCCATTTAGAGTTAGTAGGCCTCATTTTCAACTAGGAGCCCAATCCTGAACCGGGAGGCCCCCGTCATAAATTAAAAGGCCCCTGTATGGAGCAATGGAGCAGGAGGCCCCGTATTATGAAATAGGAGACCGCTGTTGTGAGCTAGGATGCCCTGTTATGGAAAATGAAACCCCTTTTATGAACTAGGAGGCCCCTTTATAAGCTAGGAAGCCCCCATTGTGAGCCTCCGTCATGAACTAGGGGGCGCCCGTCATGAACTAGGAGACCACCGTTATGAAGAAGTGGACCCTGTTGTGAATAAGGAGGCCGCGTCAAGAATATAAAAAACCCTGTTATGAACTGAGAGGCTCTTGTTCTAGATTAGAAGGCGTCCAACATAAGCATAAAAAAGATCCTTTTCTGGAACAAGAGCCCTTTTTCATGTATCAGTAGGCCTGTGGCCAGACCAAACAATCAGGGGATGCATTAGTGAACGACAAAAATGTGGATGACTTGTGTTAGCACAATCCATTTTCCATGACTGGTACAGCGGTATTCCGGCTTAACCAATGCTGCTTTGCTGATTTGCACCTGAAGCACGCTGGGCCGGCTGGGGTGAGGGAAGGGCACAAGGTCGGGAGTAAAAGACACAAGAAAAACGTAGCAAATGCCTTGTCTTGAGGATGTTGCATAAGGTACGCTAGATGTGAACATAGCATGGAAACGGCGGGTCAGAGCAACAACCGGGCCAAATTATATTATTTTTGTGTGGAAAAATATGATGTATGGAACCTGCTTTGCACGGACAATATTCTGTGTCAGAATGCATGCTGCCTGATTCATAACCAGTATGGACGCATCCACTCCACACAAATTATGGAGAGTCATAGATGGAATTGATTTTCCCGGCATCTTTTACTTCTGAAAGTATTGGTACCA